TGCCCTCGCTCAGTCTGTCCAGACAGCTTGCTTTGTAGACAACTGGACAAAAGTAGCAGACAAGGCTTGGAATACAGCATGTGATAGACACCAAATGTCAATCACAGATAATCATGCTAAAGATCACAGCTCCTTGGATGTTTCTGCAGGTATAACAAGGCCTTTAGGGTCACTGTAGTGTGATCCAATTTTGCATAACTCCCCAACCTTATAATTGCTCTGTTTCCTCCTGGGAACATGTCAGAAAACATATTCAGGGGGCCATGCATGAAAATGGAACTCTGGACCTAGATGTTTTACAAAAAGAAGTGTTGTCTATGTCTCAACTGTAATATAAGTAAGCAGCAGAAACTACCAGACTTGTGTAAAAGCAACATGGCATAGAATTTACTGTGCCTAGGTGCAGGCAAAGGACGAAAAGATCTTCTCCACTAGACAAAGAGAAGCGTGTCCCTTTTATAAGGATGGAGAGAAGGCAGGGGACACTAGACAGGAAGACCCCAATGGACATCTGTGGTTAAAGTTCTCTGGCAATCTTGCATCAGGGCAGAGCCCTTTGAAGTGTGCCTTGCAAATTCCTGGGTGTCTCCAGGTGTCCCCAGGACCTGCAGACTTTCTAGTCCTATCTCATCTCCTCTCCTGTGTTGCCAATGACAACCTCAGGTGCTGAGCTGAGTTCCCTGCAGACAGCAATGCTTCTGCTGCAAGCAGGCTGGGGGCTGGGGGAGCCAGGCAGGTTGGAGACTTATGTCAGCAAACTCAAAATTTCAATGAATAAATCTAGGAATGGGATGAATTTTCTGATGCCTCAACCAGCTGAATCCTTTTAAATACCTCAAGGCTCACTTCTAATTTTATGTTGCTATACTTGTAGTGATTTGTTTATGTCTGGATTTATTCTTAGTCTGTCACAGAGAAACTCAGCGCACTGATGTCTACAGGTCCTGCAGCCGCAGCTCATCCTGACTCAACTACAGTCAAACAAACAGAAGGGGGAACTGCTGGGAACCACAAAGTATAAACTGAGGACAGAATCTGCCGGAGTCCCTCCTTGCTCTGCCTTGTGGGCCAACTGGATACTGTCAGTTCCTATTTTTCTGTGTGCACAGCTGGGCTGAATGTCCACGAGGCTGTGGGGCTCACAGGGCAGGATGAGGACTGGTGAGGCGATACACAGAGGGCAGGTACCCGGGTGCAGGGAGGATCTTAACTTCTTTCTTTACAACCTTAAACTAGCCCATTCCAGCACTCCTTCACGCTTCCAGCAAAAGCACCCTCCCCTCCCCCTGCACTTCTCACTGGAAAAATAAAAGCTAGGGAGTTTCTTGTCTTTGCCCATTCTGAGGCTTTGATCTCCCAGCCCCCATGTCACGTATTACTGAATTAGTTTCTGGTTTTTCTTTTCATCCTGTGCTGTCACCTCAAACAGGCAGTTGGGCATCTTGGCCAGGTCCCCAACAACAGGGTTTATTTCTGTGTCTTCTGAAATGACCTCTGTCCACACCACTCAGGGTGAAAGTCCCAAGTAGACTCACAGGACCGTCAGAGCCGCACCGCCTGAGAATGAGTCCCTGGTGGTAACAGCACCGCGGGAGAGAGTCTGCTTCACACCGAAGGTTTCTGCAGCACAAGGGAGTGTGTTCCCTGCAGGGAGCCCTGCTGGACTCTCCAGGGAGAGGGAGGGGGAAGAGACAGGAGGGGAAAGCAGGGGAGAGGAGCAGAGAGGAGGGGAGGATTCACCAGCCAAGGCAGCCAGGAGGGCAGAGCAGACAAGACTCAGCATCCTGAGCCCTGGGCATGCGCAGCAGGGCTCCCTGGGCCCCATGCCCCCACCTGGTCCTTGCAGGAGTCCTTCTGCCCTCCACGGCCCTGCTCTGGGCTGAGGGGCCACACTGAATAACTCCAGAGCTGCCTCTCTGCTGCTGGACACAGCGCACCACAGCCTCTGGCAGGGTTCATGTGGCTCCTGGTGTTGGGGTTCAGTCCAGGGTCCCCATACTCAGGCAGGGACATCAGGAGGATGATGCCTGCTGGGCAGAGCCACCAGGTCCTCGAGGGAAGCGGAGGAGGGACCACACAGGACAGCGAGGGTGAGAAGCCAGGATGGGCTGAGGTCCCTGGTGGGGGACTCAGTCACCAGAAGTGCGCTGCTCCTCCCCTGAGGGCCCATGAGTCAGTGCAGAGGACACAGTACAACTGAGGTGACTGCATGGGGTTCTGACAAGAAGATATTACTATTCTTTATGCTTTATGTCATGAAAACAGAAACTGCTGCACACTTAGATCTCCTGGCAATAGAGGTGGTCTCTGAACCTGTGACCTGTCTGTCACGTTTTGATTATAAAAGTGAATGTCCTTAAGTTCAGTGTGGCTACTGAGATAATTTTAGTACATGACAGAGCCAGGTAGCATTCCCTCAGGTGTTCTGTCTGCAACTGTGGGTAACCTGCCCTATCCTAGGTGACTGGCAGAGCACCATGGTGCAGGAACATGTCTTGTGTTCCCTGTACCCACTCAAAACCTGGAAGCACTCTTAGCATTAAGTGAGTGATAACCAAAGTTCTTGGAGAAGTGAGCATGGCCCTCAATCACCAGAAATGAGGAAGCTTGGTGTAATTTGCTGATCTTCATCCTTGAACCAGGACATTGTAGAACATGACACTCACAGACCAGACCAGCTGTCCACAGTTCAGGCAAACGTGCTATTTCTGGACAAAAGGCCCATTTCCATGTTTATTTTAAGGCACTGCCACAATGTTATCAATGTCATGACAATAGACTCAGAAGGTCCTGCCATGCAGACACATAGGACATAAACCGCAATCCCCACCTCCGCTGGACTAGGGAACAGTGCGGTCTCTGTCGGGAGCCCATCCCTTCTGTTGCCAGTTCCAGGCACATTTGATCTCTCGAAACACGCAGTGCTGAACTCAGAGAAACCCTCACAGGAAATCGTATTTCCCTTGTTAGTCTCATATAATTGTTTAAATTAATCAGACTCTAAAAACATATTTAACATAAAAATTATAAATATACCCTTAATGAATCTCTGTCATGGCCCAGACATTAACCATTACTAAGTCAAGGCCCAAAACTTACCTCTAATCTCACGTCAACCATAACAGTCCTTCCCTTCACATTTTCCCGTATGTCATGTGTAAATATATATTCTTTACATATGAGGGACTTTACTACACTTTCATTTGATTTTGTATTTTGATCCTTCTCCCATACCATCATGTGTTTAAATCATGCACTCATGCACTTCTGGACCCAGAAACACAGACTGTCCAGTAGCCCAGGACCCTGCGCATCAGATACGGGGCCCACTTCAGCCTAATCTTCAACCGTGCAACAGCCTTCCTTGATATTCAGCCTAGAAGTTGTGGATGACTTAGTTGATGTCACTCCCTGATTCCCTTCATAGGGTGAGATTGTTTTTGTGGTACAATTTCCACAGACAATGTAGGTCATAGACAAGAGAGAAGTAAATCTACTTTATAAATTTAAAGTCACATTTAAAGGCCGTAATGAAAACAACATCACATTCCATAGGAGGAAACTCACCTTTGATACTAATAATGCCAATCTCCTTTGATGATTATAATGCCAGAGCAGCTTCTGACCAGACAGCAGAAGACTGACAAGTGCAGACTCTCATGTTCCGTGATTGTTTCTCTGGTTACTGCTGGGTTGGGGACTTCGATTTGTCTGCAGTGGGGAGACTCAAAATGTCAGTGAGTCACTGTTTCCACCAAATACGGTAAGTCCTGAGGCTCCTGTACCACTAGTGTCCCTCTTACGTTCTAGAGAACTCACCAGCTCCTCTATCAGCAGCCTCAGCCCCACAGGAGTCAGGCCCCACAGGAAGGCTCATGAGACACAGCCTGGACGCAGGAGAGCACCTGAGCTCAACCTCAGCCACAGACTCTGTTTTTACCTCACAGCGTTTCTTGATTTCAGTGATACAGAGGAGTAGAACCTCCACATCAGACATCATTTCCAGTTTTACATGTGTTTCAGCTTGGTTACACACAGAGCTACAGTCATGGCTCACAGCAGTCCTGTTCAGTGTGGACTCTCTAAGGCAAATGCCCAGGCTTCCTTCGTGACAATGTCCTAGGACAGGAGCTCTGGATGTGGTTTTACCCCAAACACTCAAACCTTATCCCAGATGACGCAATGACCTGATTTTCTAATGCACTGGTAAATTTGACACTTTTTTCTTTTTTTTTGTTATTAGAGAACCTTGTATTTCTTGAGCTCTCAGTCTGCTTGGACATTATTCTGCTATATTGCATACGGTCTCCTAAATATACTCATGTATAACCCTATGGCAGTAGTAAAATGCTATGAAGGTCATTAAAATCTGGTTACTCTAAAAGTCAGTGGAGAGCAGTATTTTCTTTAAGCTTCAGGTTGGTTCTTACCCTCAGTCTCCAGAGAGAGAAACATCCACCCATCTACTCCTCGAGCTCATATCAGCCAACAACATGACTCAAACCTACTCATTTAATCCAAGAAATACATGCAGCTGCCATTATCATGAAGAAAATGTCACACGCATTGTAAAAATAAGTATAATCTCCTAAATTTCAGGTCTGTCTTTTGTATAACGACATAAAAATTGAAAACCTTGATGCAGCAAAATCCACAAAGACTAATTGTATTGGGATTTGTTTTCCTCCTTTGCATGCCCATGAGAACATATCATTTTCACCACTTAAAGTAACTTCATTCTTATTCTGTAAAATTACTCTTCTGTGGATGTCACCTAAATATACCAAAAAATAGGCTTAAAGCCAATATTAAGACATCAAGGTATTAATAATATCATAGCTTCTTTTAAAGAAAAACTGCTACATTTTCTTTATTTTGAGGCTCAGGCAAGAGGCTGGTCCCTTCCAGCTCTTGAAGAGCTGATTAAGTCCACGCCCGAGCACTGTCCTTATCAGGCCCCCTCAGACCTGCCCTGTGTGCCTGGTACCCGCCACCACACAGCTAGGACGGACCTGTGCCCAGAACCCAGGACCTCGCTCAGAGGAGCCCGTCCGCAGGGTGAGACGGAGCCGACCGCCTCCTCACGGGCACAGGCTGCTTCTGAGCTCAGCGGCCGTCTCCTGCCCTGGGGCGGCTCCCTGGGGGCCCTGCGGGCAGCTGCCCCTCCGGAATGTGAGTAACTCTTCTGCTGCGCTTCTGCCCACGCGTCCCTGTGTGGTGACTCCTCGTCAGAGAGATCTGGGGCCACACAGCACTTTAAGCACAGAACTGTGAGTGTGTGGGGATCGGCATTTTCTTGGTGTTTTTAAGGCCATGAGATAAGAAAGCAGTTTCCTCGCTGCATACCTTAATAGAATTGCTGGGACCCTGTAGGTTTTTTTTTTTTTTCCCGGTAGCAGGAATTGAACTCACGACCTTGCGCTTGCCGGGCAGGCACTGTGCCGCTGAGCTATATCCCCAGCTCCTACCCTCTGGTTTTTTAATTGGTATTGTTTATTTTTTTACTCTGAGTTTATAAATGATGGAGGACGGGAACATTAACCCTGCCCCAAGCCCCTGCACTTAGGCGTTCTGTCCAGGACTCAGTTTCCCCTTTTCCTGCAGGAGAGTGACCACAGGGGACCGGCCTGGACCACGGCTGTGACGGAGCGAGGACAGGGCCCGACCTCACCCTGAGCCGCCGGGATGCAGCGCCGGGCCCCGAGCTTCAGGCCCCTCCTGCTCTGGCTCCTGCTGCCCTGGCCAGGCGCAGGTGAGTGAGGAGGAGCCGGCGGGCGGGACCCCGCTGCGCTCCCCGGGCACAGAGGCCTCAGCCTGCGCTGCCCCCGAGGTCTGGGCCTCCGCCGGGCGCCCTCTCCGCCCTCCTTCCCTCCCTGTCTCCTCACTCTTCAGGATGGAATGCTGCAGCGCCTCACACTTGTTTTTTATTAATACAGTACAATTAAGATGTTCAAGTAATCTTTTTTTCATTTTAAAGAGAAAAGAACAAAAACAGATTTACAAATACAAAGACACACCAAACAACACAGACACAATAAAAACAATACAGAATTTCAAACAAGGGGATCAGAAATTGACAATGATTGCTGTATTATATATTATTATCTTCAAATTATTATCTTCGAGTTATTCAGATAACCAGATATAAGCATGATAGATTGATCAAACATTTAAACAATGAGTATTCCTTTCAATAAACAGAAATTAGTAGTACAATTATCTTAGCTATCTTGTGTGTGTGTATTTCCCTTTTCCCCCTCATCCCTCTCCTTGTTCCCTTGGATCACTTTCCTATTGGATGACATCTGTCCCCTTGTCTTTTCTGTCCATCCTTTATCATTTTATGTCTGTCCTTTGCCTCACTGAAATGAGTGATACCATATGATACTTATGCTTGTGTGCCTGATGTATTCCCCGTCAATATTATATACTCCAGGTGCATCCATCTGCCTGCAAATGCCTCATGTTTGTCATTCCTTATTCCAGAGTACTATTCCATCATGTATCGATACCACATTTTCTTTATCCAGTCATATGTTGATGGATATACCATCTACTTCCAGGATTTAGCTATTACATGCTGTCCTGCTACAAGCATCAGTATGCATGTATCCCTGTGGTATGATGATAAGCTCTTTGGGGAAAGATACCTAGCAGGAGGAAAGCTGACTTATGTGGAATTTGTAATTTCAGTACTTTGAGGAATCTCCACACAGAATTCCATGATGGCGGTTCTAGGTTGCATTCCCACCAGCAGCACAGGAGGGTTCCCTTCTCGCCATAGCCATGACGGCATTTGTCAGTGTTTGGTTTCCTAATGACTGCTGTTCTCTCCAGAGTAAGATGGAATCTTAGTGTTGTTTTAATTTGGATTTCTCTGCTAACCAGAGATGTTGAACATTTTTCATGTATTTGTTAACCATTTGTACTCCTTCCTCTGTGAATTGTCTATTCATTTCTCTGGACCATTTTTTGACTGGGTGTTTAATTTTAGGTAGTTTAATACTTGTTGAGTTCCTTGTATATTCTAGGTATTAGTCCTTTGAAGAATATCTGGGTAAAAGTTTTCCTGTTCTGTAGATTTTCTCTTCATACCAATGATTGATTCTTTTGCTCTCTAGTCTGATATAATCTCATTTGTTGATTCTTGCTGCTATTTCTTGTGCAATTGTGATTTTGTTTAGAAAATCCTTCCCTACACCTGTGTCTGTAAGTGTTTTACCTATTGTCTTCCAGAAGGTTTAGTGTTATTTTTAATGTTCACATTTTAGATCCATTATGATTTTAATTTAGTGCATGGTAAGAAATAAAGGGCATAGTTTCATTCTTCTACAAACAGATGACCCGTTTTCCCCACACCACTTGTTGAAAAGCCTGTTTTTCCTCCAACATATGCTTTTGGCCCCTTTGTCAGAGATCAAATAGTTGAATGTCTCTGAGGGGGTTTCTGTATCCTCAGTTCTGTTCATCGATCCACGTGTCTATTTCTGTTTCTGTATCATGCCATTTTTATCGCTAATGCTTTGTAGAATAGCTTGAAGTCAGGGACTGCTATGACATCTGCTTTGCTCTTATTGCCCAGAATTGCTTTTATTTTCTGGTGTCTTCTGATTCCATGTGAATTTTAGAACTGTTTTCTCTAGATCTATAAAGTATGCTGTTGTTATTTTTATTAGGGCTGCACTGAACATGAATAAGAGCCTTAGAAGTAAAGCCATTTTGACAGTATTGTTCTGCCAATACAGAAGCATTTCCTCATGTCCTCTTCCATCTCCTTCTGCAGAGTACCGTAGTTTTCTTTATAGAGGTCTTTCACTTCCTGGTTAGATTAATTCCTCGATATTTCATTCTTCTTGATGCAAATGTGGATGGTGTTGCTTTCAGAATTTCCTTCTCATCCTATTCATTGTTGGTAATCACAAATGTTAGTGATTTTTGTGTGTTGATATTTTATTCTGCCACTTTGATGAAATTTGTGATTAATTCTAAGCTTTCTGCATACAGATTTTTGGATTTTCTGTGTAGACTACCATGTTATCTGCAAATAATGCTAATTTCTATTCTTCCTTGCCTATACAAATCCCTTTTATTACTTTCTCTTGCCTAATTGCTCTGGGTAACATTTCAAGTACTATGTTGAATACCAGAAGTGATAGTGTACAACCTTGACTTGTTCATGATTTTAGGGGGAATGCTTTTTGTTTTTCTCCATTTTGTATGATGCTGGCTATTGGTTTGTCATAAATAGCTTTTATCATATTGGGATATGGTCCTTCTATGCTTGCTTTGTTCACGGTTTTTACTATGAAGAGTGTTGGATTTTTTTGAAAGCCTTTTCTGCATCTATTGGTATGAACGCGTGGTGTTTGTAGTATTAAATTTATAGACATGTTGAACCATCCTTGAATCTCTGGGATGAAGCTGACTTGATCAGGATGGATGATCATTTGAATACTGTGCTTCACTCTATTTACGAATACCTTGTGGACTTTGCATCTGCATTCATTAAAAAGATTGGCCTGTAGTTCTTTCTATTTTTTAGTTGGGTTTTTATCTTGTTTTGGTATCAAGGTGACATTGGTTTCCATTAATGAATTTGGGAGCACTCTATAACTTTCATTAGCTTTGAAGAGCTTGAGGATCATTGTGATATGTCATCCTTAAAGGTTTTATAGACTTCAGCTCTGAATACATCTGCTCCCAGGATTTTTTATTGGACAGATTCTTTTACTGAGTCAATTTTCTTGCTTGTTACTCTGATGTTAAACACATTTGTATCATCTTGGGTTAGTTTTGACCATTTATATGTATCTAGAAGTCTGTCCATTTCTTCAAAATTTGCTAATTTGTTGGAACATAATTTTTCAAAGTAGTTACTATCTTCTGGTTTGGACAGCATCTGTTGTAATTTTACCTTTGTCAATTCTAACTGCTTTGATGTTAGTCTCTTCTTTCCCTTGGTGAGTCTTGCTAAGACTATTTTATTCATTCCTTTGAAGAACCAAGTATTTGATTCATTGATTTTTTTTCACAGTTTTAATAGTCCCCTTTTCATTGTTTTTTGCTCTCATCTTTATAATTTCCCTCCTTAATTTCAGTTTTAGGCTGCTTTGTTGTAGTTCCTCAAGTACCTCGATATTTCTCATAAGTTTTTTTATTTGCACTTGTTCTCTTTTCCTAATGTGAGCATTAATTGGGATAAATTTTCCTCTTAGAACTACTTTTGTGTGTCACAGAAGATTGGTTAAGTTGCACATTATTATCATTGACTTCCACATTTTTAAAATTTTCTCCTTTGATCTTGTCTGTGACTCCTTGTTTGTTTAAGAGTATTTTGCTAATTTTCCAGGAAATTTTCCTTTTCCAAAATTTATTCCTTCATTGACTTCTGTTTTCATTGCACACTGGTTGGATAGTGTGCATGGGGGATTTCAATTCTCTTATATTTACTTAAGCAAAGCTTTGTGGACTAGAGTGATATCTATTTTGGAAAAAGTACCATGTGCTGCTGGAAAGAATGTATACTCTGTTATAGATGGGTGGGATCTCTGTATGAATCTACTAAATACATATGTTTAAAAATGTGTTTCATCTCTGAAATATTTTCATTAAGTTTTTAGTTAACTGTCTCTGTGGAAGTAGAGTGTCAAAATTCTTTACTATGATTGTGTTAATGTTTATTTGGTCTTTGAATTTCAGAAGTTGTTGCTTTCTTATTGTTTTTTTATTTTAAAGAGAATAGTAAAAAAAAAAGAATAGCAAGATACAAACAAAACAAAGCCAGAACATTAAAAATGATATGCAATTTCAACCTAAATGACAAGAATTAGCAGTAGTTGCTGGGTGTGGTGGCACACACCTGTAATCCCAGCACTCAGGAGGCTGAGGCAGGAGGATCCTTGTGAGTTCAAGGCCAGCCTGGGCTACCAAGTGAGCTCAAGGCCAGCCAGAACTGCATAGTGAGACCCTGTCTCAAAAAGACAAAAAAAAAAAAAAAAAAAAGAATTAACAGTAGTTGCTATATTACATATTTTTAACTTCAGCCAAGTTGTTCAGATTACCATGTAAGAATGAAAGACTGATCAAACCATTAAAGAGAGTAAGAAAATAATAATTTAAAAAATATCAGAGACAATACAGAGTTTCACTAGACAAGATGGTAGGAATTCACCAATGGTTGTTACAGGGCATGTTGTTGTCTTCATATCAGTTGCTCAGATTACCAGGTGTGAGCATGTCTGGTGGTTTATTGAAAGGAACAGTTATTGCTTTCTTAAGATGGTGCTCCAGTATTTGATGCATATACGCTGATCAATGTTATCTTTTTTGTTGAATTATTGTATTAACTAGTATATAATGATGTTCTTTGTGTCTTCTAATCCATTTTAAATTGACATGTACCGTGTCTGATATTAGAATTGCTGCCCCTGGTTGTTTTGAGGGTCCTGGTGCATCAAATGTGGTTTTGCATCTTTTAATTTTTAGTCTGTGACTATATCTTTGGATTAGGTAAGATTTGTGAATGCAACACATTGTTGGATTTTGCTTTTTGATTCCAGTCTGCCAGTGTGTGTCAGACTGGAATCACTAATTTACTCTTTTGTCCTGAGTATCAGATACTCTACCTTCACATTGTTCATTTCTGAAATATATGAATACTACACTGTTTTTTTCTTTCAGGTATTGCAGTCTGACATCTTTGTGAAGATTCCATTCCAGTCTGTGTCTTTGGATTGGAGAGCTGAGGCCGTTAATACTGAGTGATATTACTGAGCTGTGTTGATTATTTACTGTCATTGCTTTCTGTATCTGTTCATATATCCTTTGTTTTACTTTCACGGATTCTTGTTGTTATTTACCCATTGGCCTCACTAGTTTCTTCTGTATTTGTAGGTGTGCCCACTCTATTCTTCCTGTTGAGAATAGTGTTTTCTCTAGAGGTACTTTAGCACTCATGTATCTTTTAAGCTGGTGTTTCCATGGTAATACCTTATTTCTCCATCTATTTTGAAGGATAAACTTGCTTGGTATGTTAATCTGAATTGGAAGTTATTTGCTCTTAGGATTTGAAATACTTCTGTCCTAGTTCTTCTTGCCTTCAGGTTCTGCACTGAGAAGCCTGCTATGTATTTATTTTGCTTTCATATGTGATTTTTTTTTCTTTTTCCTTGGCTGCTTTTAAAATTCTGACTTTTTGCTGGATATTTTGAATTTAATAAGGATGTACCTGGGTAAATTTGTGCTTTCATTATAACTATTTGGAATTCTACAAGCATAACTTTCTTGTGTTTTAGAATCTTTTCTTATATTAGGGAAGTTTTCTTCCATAATTTCTGTAAATATGTTGGTGAATCCTTGTGGGCAATTTCTAGATTTTCTTTAACTCCAATTAGCCTTAGATTGGCCTTCTTGTTGTCATCTAGCGCCTGCTGGGTAGTCTTCTCTTATTCTCTTGTTTTCAATTGGCTTTTTGAGTTCTTTATTAGAATTCACACTTTTGTCCTGAGTATCAGATACTCAGTCTTCATGAAATATATGAATGCTATATTGCTTTTCCTTTCAGGTATTGCAGTCTGACATCTTTATGAAGACTCCATACCCTTGTTGAATCTGTTTCAAATTTTGAACTGTCTTTGTTATCAGGTCCAGTTTATTTATTCCCTCAGATTCACAGTGGGCGTATTGAGTGCTTTTGCTGTAAACTTTTGCTTCATTTCCTCTTTGAACGCATCTATTTTTTTCATCTCTTCTAAGAACATTTCACAGATTACTGTTATTGGGTAATTGTTTTCTTCTCCTGTTATGATCCCTTGCCCTGACTTGGGGGACCTGGAGGGGATTAGAAGATCTTCTGTTTCCTTATTTCCCCATTCTCCTACTTGTATATGTATTTATTTGATAACAAATATATATGTATATGTATATATAAATGATATATGTCCCCTGTATCTTTTTCTCCTCCCCTTTTGGGGCAGATGTTACTAGAAAAGTAAGAAGAGTGTGTGGTTATGTTAGAAGGAGGTTGCCTCCCCATGTATAATTTTCAGCTTTGTACATCCAGTTCTAGTATTTATTACTTCTGTTATTTACTTTAAATGGTTTTGATTCTGTCCCAAGTTTTGTCATAAGAATTGCTTCAATTTATAACAACATCCACAGATGCAATCTTACATTTCTTCTTGATAGTCCTTGCAGTTAGTCTCCCCTCTTCTGTTTATTGCCTAGACAAGGGGCAAACCTAGACACCTATTAAATCAGAGCCAATGAATGCACAAATATATGAGAATATCTGTGTAATATACTCATGAAACCACAAAAGAACATCACATCACAATAATAAATAACTCAAGAAGCATAAAAGACTTAAATCAACAAGATGTCTAATGGAAACACAGATGAGATACTCCAATGAGCCACTGCGTATGTGATTCCCAAGTAGCTTCTTTGCCTGATTGTAGTCTGATTGTTCACATCCAGTTACACCTGTGCCCCCTCCACTGCACAGCCGGGGTTAACATGACTCAGGACCTCTTTCTGCCAGGTTGCAGGCCTTTTTGTAGAGTCTGATCAGCCTGAGTTCTTGAGTAAGTTCATCTCCCTGTCCCTCTCCCTGGGTGTGGTGGTGGATTTCCAGACAAGTTCACGGACATTAAATTGTCCACTGAGTCATGATTACTCCTATGCAGTCAATTCAAGTGCAGCAGTAAGAGTGTAATCCATTCCAGTGGTGTCCATCAGGGTTAGCTGAGAAGTAACACAGCACAAGCCCCTGTTGTCCATCTCCCTCTAGCAGTGGGAAAACGGGGCTTTGTGAGCTTCCAATGCTGAGTAAGTCAGGCTGAATCTGGTTCCTGAGTGCAGGTCTCAGGACCATGATCTACAGTCCCTGCTTTTCAGCAGGACTCACTGCAATCTGCTCCCCACCTGCCAACAGCCTCCAGTGACTAACTTTCCCTGGGACCTGGTCATGATGAATTCCAGAAGGGGCGGCTCTGGAATTGAACTTCAGACTCCCAGCCCTTTTGCACAATGTCTTCCCAGCCAAGCTGTGTGGCAGGGCTGTGTCCTGGGCATTTGTGAGGCAGATCCTCACCACTATTACCACTGAAGGTCACTCAGAACAGAGACTCATGTTCTTCCTACTGTCTCCCACTCCAGACTTCAGTTCTCTTGTGCTGGAGAAGTAGAGCTGGGGTAACTCAGAGCTCCACCGTCTTGTCCTCTCTCCTCTGTGTTTCTTATTGATGTTCTCTGAGTCTCTCCGACGTGGCTCCTGCTCTACTCAGCTGGGTGGGATCTTCCAGATCCTTCCCTCCCAGTGGATCTTTCCTCAGCTTATTGATGTGACCTTCCATGTAGTCCTCCATGTTGAATTTCCTATTCTAGACTTTTGCACAGGAGCAGATCTGTTACTCATCTTGAATTTCAGCCGTCCCATGGCAGGAGGGAGGGGCTTAGAACCAGGCCCAGATTGGTGGTGGCTGAGGCAAGGTGTGGTAATAGCCCACAGGTCTGAGTATTCTGATGGAGACCCAGGTATTAGTTTTCTAAAATGTGAATAAATAATGTCTTTCTGCTCTTCGCTTGGAAAAACATTAGTTTTAATATTTTCACATTTAATTGGCTTATATGATTATATGACACTGAGTAATATATGCTTTAAAGAAATAAAATGTTTGACACTATTTTAAGATATTTGTGTTAAGTCCCATTATTATGTGTTATAGGGTAAGATATTAAAGCATTCACTGATTCAAATTCTTCATCTAATAATAATAATGCTTTCAAACACTCAAGGTGATAAGAATTAAATACACTGCTTCACACCAATTTGATTTACAACCCTAAACAACCTGGGGAAAACTTAATTTAGCCTAAAGTCTTGTGGCTTTGCACATGTAGCCTAACGCCGTGGGATCTCTTAGACTAAATGTGAACCTGTACCTCCTACTTTTGCTCTGTTCATCAACTGTCTTAGCTCATAAAGGTAGCTGACCTGGTGTCATCCTTGTCTTGTCAGAAAGCCACCACCTTGCCTTCCATGCTCTCAGCAATGCCTCTGTCTTCCTCTTAATCACCTCCAGGGCAGTTCCAAGTGAAGGGACCAAGCTCACCAGTCATTGCCCGTGTGGGAGAAGCGGCTGTGCTTCCCTGCCACCTCAGCCCACCCACGGATGCTCAGAACATGGTGGTCAGATGGTACCGAGACCGTCAGTCAGTACTGGTGCACGAGTACAGGGATTCTCTGGACCACATGGAACAGCAGAGTCTCCAGTACCAAGGGAGGACAGAGCTCCTGAGGGAGAACATCACGCAAGGCCAGGTGGCCCTGAGGATCCATCCCGTCCTCCCTGGAGATGAAGGGCAGTACAGCTGCGTCTTTCTAAGATCCGCACAGCTCAGCCGAGCACAGTTTGAGCTGCTTGTTGCAGGTGAGCATTGGAAATGCTGAATTGGTATTTTTTTTAATCCAAGCAGGACTCAACTGTATGTGTGGGAAATGTGGCTGCGCCTGTGCAAACACCGTAATGGAATGGCGGGGGTTAGTGTTCAAATTCATTTAATTGCTCTTTGCAGAGTGATTTACTCTTTGATAGAAAAAGATTCCTATCATTTTTGTTTGCGAACATAGTTGCTGAAGGACAGGTTTTATCCTACCATGTAGTGTGTTGTAACTCCAAGAGTCTCAGAACACAGCTCAGTCTAGGGATTTCCTTCTCACATGCTAGACCCAGAAGGAGGTCCACACGAACAGGAAGGACCTGCGAAGCCCACTGTCAGACTCAGGGTTTCTGCACCTCATTTCCTTCCATCCCGGATGTGCTCTTTCCTATCACATGTGCTCCTGCCCACTCTTCCTGTGTCAACCTCTGGACTCAGATCTCTGCAGAAGCCTGCGCTCTGACCTCCCCTCCTCCCCAGGCACTGACAGCGGGGAAAAGTCTGTCCTGAGCAGATGGAAGGGTAAGGGAGGGCTCACAGTTTAGCCAGGAACTGAGCCTGATTCGCATAACTCTACAGATGACTCCGGGCCATCTGCTGAGCTCAACGAGGGGTTCCTCTTTCTCTCCCTTCAAATGGCTTCAGCAGAAACCTACCAGAACATCAAAATCCTGACCTTGGAGATTCAGGAGGAGCTTGATTTCCAGGTCCACCAACCTGTCTTTATCTCCTGTGCTTTACTTCTCTGACAATCTCTGAAAGCCAGAGGCTTCTAGGAGAATAATCTGTGCATCACAGCAATTTTGGTCAGGAGCAAAGAGTTCTTTGTCTTACAATTACCTAAAAAAGCAGTGAGTCATACAATTCTTACACATTTTAGGTTTCTTAAGAGAAGAGACTTACTAGTGAGTTTTATCAAGAGACCTTCCTGCCTGATCAGTCACTGTTTTACTAGACAACAGATATAACACGAGACATGCAAATGTATAAGGAAATAGAAGATTGGCTTATGACGATCACCCACAACATCTGATGAGGAAGAGTGCAGAGGGTGTCTGCACAATGGAGACCAATTATTTCAGTCCAAATTCTGGAGTTCACTGCAGTGTCCCCTGCAACTCTGTATTTGGAGGCCAATGAGTCTGTCTTGGAAGCTGAATTATCTGCACTGGAAGGGAAAGTGTTTACTCCTGAAGGCTGAATGATCCAAGGCAGAAGACAAAGAGTCTGCACTGGAAACCAAGAGATGACATCCAAGCCTAAGGTGAAGAGATGACATCCAAGCCTAAGGTGAAGACTGGAGCTTCTGAAGAGGTGAAGACAGAAGCCAGTCCTGATTTCCCCATTACACCTCCAAATTACGGTCCAGATACCAGGCATACCCTAGAATTGCTGAACAGATTGAGTTAATCTTCTAAAATTCTCAAGTTGACACAATCAAACATTATAATTCCTCTCTCCACACAATCTCTGTGGTCGTGTGGCAGAGGTCAGCCCCTGTCTGGGTTAGGAAGCCCCCGTATTCCAGCTGGTGCCCTGGACTCGGCTGTACAAGTGCCCATTGTATGCAAAGGAGCGGTGCCTACCAGATGCACTTGCCCAGGCGCCTGCAGGGCTGGCTGAGCCTGACTGTGCTCCTCCCTCACCCAGCCGCACCTTCTGGGGAGAGCTTCACTCTCCTGTGGGGACACCTGGGGAAACCCCGACACATCCATTCTTAGAGGCTCTGCAAACACTCTCTAGAATGTGTGCAACTGTGTCCTGTAAACCTTTACTTACATAATTAAAAAAATCTCATGAGTGGCTTTGAATCTCAAGCCAGCTCCTCCACTCTGTCTCCTGGCTCATTCCTTCATTTCTCTGGAGCAGCCTGACTTGTCCTGTCCCAAGGCTTCTCTTCTGGCACGGAGGGATTCCACACTGTGTAGGAATCAGCTTCCCCTGCTCTCCACTTTAATCCTGCCATACTTAGCAGCAAGCACTTCGCATCCTAAAGCTCCTGGCTGGGCACCAGCTGTCCTGCCTGCCTTGAAATTTGTTCTGACATGAGAAAAATTTCCTTGGCCCCCTACTGGAATCTCTGTTCTGATCTCATGGGTCCAATGGGAGAGTTTATCAGAGGTATCACCTCTCTGAGTTCTAGAAAGAGTAAGGCAGAGGTGGTTGTGGATTCAACCTGGGTACATCGAGCACAGCAGAAATTTACATGAAGATGAAGCCAGCGTCAGGCTTCCCAATTTCCACTGCTTACACCCACCAGAGACAGTGTGCATTAATCCCACTCACTTCTTTATGAAGCCAGAGCAAACTCCGCCTGTCCAGGAGGTTCAGTTGGTTTTCTCATGTTCCAGGAGCAGTGAGATACAGTGAAACCTTGGTTTGCAAGCCTAATGTGTTCCAGAAACACACTTGTAATCCAGAGCACTTGTATATCAAGCAAATTTCTACTTAAGAAATAATGGAATCCCACATGATTTGTTCCTCAACCCAAAAATATTCTTATAAAATTATTCCAATACTGTAATATAATTAAAAATAACAGCAAAAATATGAAATATGAAGAAAAATGAAGAAATTCACCTGCCCTTAGCTTTGAAATCCTTCATGCTTGGGGTCAGGGATATGGTATATGGGAGAAAGGAGGGTCATTGTGTAGGATAACTTTTATTATTACAAGTGGAATCACTGCTATTTATCGATGCAGTGCAATCTTTTTCTTTTTATATAACTTTAACACGAAATCTGTCCATTGACATTTGCTTTTGTCTCCTTTGAGCACTTTGGCGAAATATAACATTGCATTGTCATTAAACAGATTCACTGCTCACAGTGCTACAGCCTTACTCTGCTTCTGGTGTTTCTTTTCTATAAAATTTTGCACTGTTTCCCAGCATTTTACACATCTCCCTAATCTCTCTTGAAGTGAGGGATTCTTCCGCCTTTACTTCCGCCTCCTCTGCAGACAAGATCTCCTTAGTAAACTCTTGCTATTGGGAGTGGATCAACCACAATCCCTGGAGGAGAGGAAGTAAAGCCGCAGATTGAGATAGAGATAGAGACAGATAGACAGAGATAGATAGATAGATAGATAGATAGATAGATAGATAGATAGATAGAGATAGGGAGAGAGAGACCAAAGACTCAGTTGTGCTTATGTGACATTTGGCATCAAAGACTACTGTTACTGCAGACATCCCTTGATTATCCAGTTAAAGTTTATTAGAAATGCTCGATCCTCTGTGGAACACTTGCAAAACAAGTTACTTGCAGTCAAGTTACTTTTACGGTATTCTGAATTTGTGCCCCTGTAGCTAAGTACTGTATTTGCAGATGTAAATTTTTACACTGTGACTTTGAGATTCACAACTGAACTAACAAGCAACCACAAATATGTTCTGCAGAATACAAATGTTTTCCTGTCAGAAAAGATTGTTTTCTAGTCCTCTTTCTATATTCTTCAGGAAATTTTCTATTTTTTTAATGATGTTGGAAACGTTCCAATTTTATGTTGTCCGTTCTCTTATGGTACACTAGAAAAATTACATCCTGTGCTGATTTGATCTTCTTCCTGCTCATCATGGACACATCTCAGTGGACACCTGAAGCCCTGGGCTGATTGTTCAGAGCTGAACCTCACGGACCCTCTCAGGAGCTGTGCTGTCTTAGCTGCATGGCTGCTGGCCCTCATTTCTTTAGTCTGCCCTGTCCTCCTCAAGGAGCACAGTGAGGCCCAGGTCAGGAATCTGCTCCTCCTAGAGATACAGTCTCTGCAGGGACCCAGAGCCCCTCCCTGCCTGCTCCTCACTGTTTCCCTTCAAGGAGACGCTGTGCTGCCCTCAGCAGGGCTGCTCTCCTCCAGAGCTCAGCGCTGCAGCTTCCCCTCTTGCTCCTGGCTGCATTTTCCTCTCCCCACCTCCTTACCGAGACCAGTCCTGTGGACAGACACAGCATGGGAGCAGGTGAGGCATCCGTGCTGTGTGCACCGCCCTGCTGCGTGCTGGGCTTTTCATGACCCAGTGCTCCTGTGAGGAGCAAGAAGCCTCCCTGTCCACTTTGAGGAGGACCCCAAGCCAGCTATGGGGAGAGGGGACAAACCCTGGGGAAATGGATCCGTGCCTCTGCCCCATGGTCACTAGCTAAAGCGTGCTCAGGGCACATCCAGCACATTGCTTCTATCAGCATCATAAATCCAGTCCTGCATACAATGCACACTGGGCCTGTGCAGTGCTCAGCTGGCGGTGGAGCACACAGACAGGGAATGCATTTAAACATGAGGCCCCAATACGGCGTTCTACTGAAAATTTAACTGGTTGATAACAAGTAAAATGGAACAATTTTTAGTTTCTACAACCATGTTGCATGTGCTTCACACACACACACACACACACACACACACACACACACACACACGTTGCTGGTGTCTGATGGACTGGCCCACGGTGACAGCACCGTCCCCACGTCACAGGTTCCTGTGGAAAGTTTTGCTGCAGATCAAGAAGAGCTAAGTGAGTGCTGTGAGATCAACCGTATTTTACACAGAAAACCAAGGGATGCTGTGTGATCTGCAGCTCTCAGCTCCAACTGGATGGACAGAGTATTCTACCACCCACCTCAGGAGTCATTAGATAGAAAGATAAATAATACCCCTAAGGGGATGGAGGAAAAGGAAATAAATGATACAGAACTCTTTAGTATTGCACATTCTGCCAAGTGCTGTTGTAGTTAATTTCGTTTATTTAAGGCATTGTGCTGGGAAAATACTTTATGTCCAGCATCTCTGTAACTCAGAATTCAGAAGCACAGCGTAGAGATTCATAGAGAGGTTGATTAGTACACACCAGCTGACTGGTGCATCTGACATGTGTGTAAACTCACAGAGAAGCAATATTTTCCCTTTTGTGATTCTTCCAGCCTCAGGTGCCCCTCCTCATATCCACATTCAGCCTGCGCACACTGGGAGCATTAAGATGACCTGCTCGTCCTCGGGGTGGTACCCACACCCTGAGCTCCAGTGGAGGGACACACAAGGACGGCCCCTGTCACCTGACTCTGTGAAGATGTCCATTCGAGAAGATGGCCTGATGCATGTGGACAGCTCTATCACAGTGGAGGAAAGCTCCAGAGCAGATGTGTCCTGTTCCATCAGGAACCCTGTGCTCAGAGAGGAGAAGGAGTCGCGTCTCTCAGTGGCCGGTGAGTTCACTTAGAGCCCTCATCCTGTGATGTCAGTGCTGAGGAGGGAGGTGCACTAGCGATGGCCCTGATGGAAAGACGGAAGAGTGGTCCAGTTCACACATTTCCAACTCTTACTTGGAAAGCCAGGTAAATATAGACTTTTTGCAGTTTTAATTTTTTGTATAGTAAACTATAATTTCACTTCATAATAAATGATGTCATAGATAAGCAAAACATTTAAGTATCCAGAATATTTTGAGGAATATGTTGAAGTTCATTCCAAACATGTCAGATGACATTTACAAGGGCGAGTCCTGCATAACAACAGGGAGTTTATTCCTCCTCATGTCACATCAGGTTGAAGTCCCGGCATTGCCACCTGCAGGCCCTGTGACACTGGACAAACACGGGCCACTGTCTGTCCGGTCCCCTGTTAAACAGCAATAACCCCGCTGTCTGTGTGGTTAGACCGTGGTGAGCAGTGACTCACGTCAGGCATCCGAGGGCGGAGAAGAGCTGCACGCCGCAGTCTGCGCTGTGCTCCGTCCGCAGTGACCGCTCCCGGGAGTCCCGTGTGGCTCCGACGCTCCCTGCAGCTTCCGTGACTGCTCTCCTCAGTCTCGGAGGAACTACAGAGCCTGTGAATTAACTGTTTGATTCCTGTACATTTGTTCTTTCTCCACTTTTTGCCCCTTCTCCTTTTCTCCACCATCTCTCACCCCACCCACAGCACCGACGCCCATGGCGCTGACTGCTGGGCCCCTTCTGTCTCCTCACAGGAGCAGTTCCTGCTGGTCCCTGACACCTGCGCCCTTTCCTGGAGCTCGCTGAGCTGGGCAGCACTGCACACATCTCTACGTTCCCCTGTTTATTCTGAGTTGTAGTTTTCTGTGTCCCTAACTGCAGTATAAACTGTGGTAGATACTGTGTTCTAAGTCTTAAATATCCCTAGTAGCTGGTAAATTAATTAATGCCAAATATATATTGCCAAACTGATATTGAAATTAATGTCTGACAGAATTAGTGAAAAATGTCCTTTTGGTGATTTAGTTTGGTAACTTACACACATTAAAGGTAATTAGAGAGGAGCCCTGGAAGTTGGGATTGTGAGGAGAATGTTATGTGTCAGAGGAGCAAGTTTTTAATGAGAGTGTTAGAAAAACAAAATGTGAGATGATGCAGTAGCCCAAGTGTTGCACTTAGACTTCCATGCCAATAGAGGATTCAGGATATTTTAGAGAATGAAGAGTTGGAGCTAAGAAACATAATCATCATTAATCCTAATGTCAGAAGACTCCTGAAACCTGTATGGTTGAGCACAATGTAGATAGAGAATGCATCTTCATATTTATATAATTAGAACCATTATGCATAAGTAACTAGACAGCAATTATCTAATTTGCTGATTATCATGAAAAGATGCTTTTAATGTTATGGACTGAAGATCAGTCTTCAAAGAGAATGTCCTCATTTCTCTACTGAGCTCATGTTGTCACATTGATAAACATTGGCATTATACTCCTTTAAAATTTAAGTTACCCATAGTCACACCATTCAGATGACTCCTTGCTGTGAGCTGGAATTGTCTTTCAAGCATGGACTTGACATCTATGTGGTTTATCCTCTGACACCAGTCCACATCCCCGCTTTAATTGTAGAGCATCTCCACCTGATTCCTCAGCATAAGGCTGGGCTCACAGCTATGGACAGGTGGGAATAACTGGACAGAGAGGCCCGGGGCAAGTTCCCTTGAAGAGTGAGGGGAAGAGAATCTCCTGCACTCAGTGCGCTTGTATTCATGAACACTTCTGCACGTCCCATGTATAAATGTGGGATTCGGTCTGGGTGGTGGATGCATGAATATCTGTTGCACTGATTTCTATATTCAGCGTGTTCCCATAGCTTCCAAATTACTTAGAGCCTCCTGGGTCTCACACACTGGGGAGGCAGGGACACAGGAGACCCTCAGATCCTGAGTTCCTGAGAGTTGCAGTGGGGCTGAGGCTCAGCGTCTCTGCCCTGCTCTCTCCCTGGAGAAATTATCGGAGGACTGGAGCCCAGCAGCCAAGTCAGCCGGTGTCCAGCTGGGTCTCAGAAGCTGTTTTCTGTCTTTCAGAGGCCTTGTTCCCCCGGGTGAGTGCCTGGACAGTGGCGCTGGCCGTGCTTCTCGTACTTCTGACCTTCAGCTTGATGATCACTGGTGTGTTCCTCCAGAGATTTAGAAGAGCCCTAGGTAAAGGGAAAAACAGTGAGGGTTGATTTATTCCTGGAGGGATGGTGGGACATGTAAGTCAAGAGTGAACTTAGAAAATCTTGTTCATTTAAAACTGAATAGAAGAACCCTGAGGAGGAAGAAGTCTTTGATTTGCACATTCTTGGATCTCACCGGGGATTTTCAGTGTCTTCCCTCTTCCTGATTCCTCTTAACTTGATTATTTCTGGACTGACCCCGCCTCCCCCACAGGGCCCTGGTGACCCTCATCTGGAGGGTTCCAAGTGCCTCCCGAGTCACGTGTCTCTCACGGTCACAGGACATGGAGCTCTGTACCTGTGACGGTTCAGGGCCAGGTGTCCTTCACCGCTGCTACCAGGGTCCAATTCAGCATCCAGCTCAGTGTCCAGCTCAGGGCTGGCTGATATCCAGATATCAGTTAGATGGCAGAATGGTTCTTATTTATGTTTTTCCTCTCTTTAGAAAGTTAAATTCTGCTTTTATCATGGATTATGGAATAATCCATATGACACACAATTTAACACCCAATCTTAACAAAATCTCCCATGTCTTATAATTAATCGTTCTTCAACATGACATCACATTGACCTGAATCTCAGGCTTTGCTGGCTTTTCTGGGAGAGCTATGTCCAAATGAGCAGCTGTGGCCAGAAGCTGCCCAGTGGAGCTGCCGTGGACACGAACCAGAGAGCACTTGACCTCAGCAGAAAGCAGAGTGGTGAGGGTCCTAAGGAAAATCATAAGATTCTGCCCTGCTCAGGGGGCACACGTGAGAAAGGACAGTGGCAGACCATGAGCAGGCTGAACTGTATCCTGAGTTTGCACTCATGTAACACAAGTCATTGCCCTTCCTCTCTGGACGCTCCACCTGCTCCACCTTTAACAACTCCATGGGATGTGAGAGGAGTAGGCAGACCTGGACAGACTGTGAGAGGCTCACAGGCTGCACAAAGGGACACTGAGATCTCTGTGAGCAGAGGGTCATGAGAGGTTGAAGCTGAGATCCAATGAGGTTGCTCCTTGCTGAGAACCACTGATGTCCTGACCACTCTATAAACCAACGTGAAACCGTGTGCAGTTAGGAGGAGTACAGTTGTCCTTAGCTAAATATTTAGTGAGAGGAATTTTTGGCAAAATATTTACTCTATGAATTAGATAGTCCAGGAAATATACTAAATTATTATTTAGTTAAGATATTTTATTTTATTTTTTTATTTTATTTTTTTTTTAGTTTTTCTCTGGTACCGGGAACCGAACTCACGACCTTGTGCTTGCCAGGCAAGCGCTTTTGCCGCTGAGCTAAATCCCCAGCCCTTAGTTAAGATATTTTAAAAAGTAGTTCTTGGGTCATTTTCTTTCACTTCTTGTTAAATTACATAAGGAGATGAGCTATTTAGGAAGATTGAGTGGTAAGGACATGGAGTCCCCATTTGTCCTAATTTTGCTGCCAGGCACCTGTCACCCTGGGGGTTGAATAAGCATCAGATTCAGATTAATATGGGGCCCGAACATGCTGAATTGTATAGAGTTTTGATGTATTGTAAGGTGAGGATCACAAATTTACCTGATTATTTTGGAGACACTGGGAGATGTGGTCCAGAGAAAGTTTAAAAGGCTGATACCTTGACTTGAGCATCCAAGAAGCACCCTCTTCTGGCCCGAGGTAGATGAACCCCCCGCCCCTTTCTGTGCTCTGACTGCTGACCTTGTCAGTTATTCAGGGTTCTGCTGGGCATTTGTTATCCCTGTCCCTGAATGCATGGTGATGAACTGAGAATCCTCAACCCTATCTCAGCAAAACCGTTTGAATGTTCTGGGAAGACTGTATTGATTAGTATTTACTGCCCACCTAGTTTCTGAGATATGGGACTGATCACTCCCAAAATGAGAACACAAAATGAGGAGACCTTATTCTATACTCACAATATAAATTAGAACTCAATTTCAGCTTGAGTTCTAATTACTTTGCTAAGAAAATACAGTCCGTATCTGTGTGCATCACTGTGGAACTGTCAAGTCTCAGCCTAAAGGTCCCTTTGTCAAATAGGGATAAATTTTGGGATGGGATGAGATTTTTGCCGCTAGCAAGAGGAAAAATTTGGGTCACATACTTTGTTAAAACAGCAGCAGAGTAAATGATACTTGAGAGGCAAAGTTTGAATCTTTAAAATCCAATAACAGTCCACACTTTATATACTTCTATGGGTGTAAGACACACAAAATCCACATATAATTGAATGCCTCTTTTTGACCTGAAATATGGTTTAGAGACAATGAAAATATTTGTCTAATAAATTTTACAGAGTAATTGTAGTGATAGCATGGGAAAGGTTGTTAGGCATACGTAGAAAAACAAATGCATTATTTAAATCCCATGAGGACTGGGTGTCAGGGGTTTGCAGATCCCACTGGACAAAGACCATGTCTTTTTCTTCATAAGTTAATTCACTGCCTGTTGCCTGATTTGTGATGAACTGAACAAGAGATATAACTGATGTCTCAAGATAGATGTGAATTTTACACTTTTGAAATAAGTTCAAAATAAGTATTTTAAATGGGCAATAGATCAGAGCAATTACAGGGTCCCTTGAGAAAATAGTACGAGCAGAGCTAGAGGTCAGGAGGGACTTGGCTGAGGCAGCGGGGGTGGATCTGAGCTCAGAGCTGATGAAGGGATTTGAACATAGAGAGAAAACCAGCAGGAGCAAGGCAGGAGCGGCCTGAAGCAGGGAGAGCTCTGGCTCCCTCAGAGGAGACAAACATGGGCCAGGGGGCTGAGTAGGAAAATTAGGCAGATATCAGGAAATGTAGCATCATATCACCATGAAAACAGCTTTGATCAGTTTGAAACCAAATTGCCCAGGCTTCCAAGTTTTAGTCAGCTCTATGGCTATCTCTTTAAGGAAGGTCTCTTTTTCATAGGATGGGAAGCAGAATCCCTAGTAAGTGGTCAAATTTTCAGAGAGAATTAGCAGAATTCCACTCAGAGTAGGACACTCAGTAAAATGAATAAATCTGTCTAAAACTCCATCCATGTGTAATTCTGCACTATTTTATCATTGGCCTCTACAGTTATAAAGTGAATTTTTTAATCATTATGTAAATTAAATAGTGAGTAGTCCATGTAATGAGAACAGTGTGAGTGAGAGAGATCCTCTGTGATATGTGTGTTTCTCTTTCATGTTCAGGCAGCCAGGCAGTCACTAGCTTCTCTCAAGGTGGAGCAACATGAGTGATACTATCCTCATTTTTAAGATATGAGAACAAATATGAGATATGAGGACAATCTGCTCCAGATGGACAGTGCAGGTCTGGGTTTAAGTGAAATCCTGATCCTTAGTAACTTTGGTGCTCTTTCAAAAGACATCAGAATATTAACCTCCTCAAACATATATTTGACTTATGTGGTCAAGATGCTGGTGTTTGTGACACAAGGTTACACTTGGGATTGAACGGTAACTCATCTAAGCACCTTGACTCAGAGGCAGGATCTCAGTTCTTGGTAGTAATTGTGCAGCTAGTGGTCCTGGAAAGGAGATAGTTTTATATGTACATCTGGATCCCCATTAAATTACAATTGGTCTATGATATCTACTTAGGGATCATTAAGCTTCTTCCATGAAAGAACAAGTTCACCCACTAAAATCATTATATACAGAACAAAGTATCATGAGAATGAACATTTTCCTCCTATATGCTTGTTGAAGTTAAAAGGACTGAACCAGCATGTACTTCTAATTTTAATGTAATAATATTACGAATATCACATGCCCTAAATTGTTAACTTATACACATAGAGTAACAAAATAGCTATTTAGAACTTATTGTAACCCTACGTTCACTGTTATCTCTTAATTGCTTTTGCTGTTTACTTTTCAGATGCACTCAAAGAAATGTGGTGCTCATTTGGCACTTTATATTTAAATAGGTCACTTTATGTTAAGAAGCCAATTCCTACAGGAGCTCATGAACTTGACAGTGGGGTCTTTGCCCAGGAAACGCTCTGGGCTAACTCTGTGACCTTGGGGGGAGGACAGGTGCTCCTGTTTCCATCACAGCCCAGGGTCAGAGGCAATCACAACTCAGCATCAAACACGAGTTATGAGATCCAGGATTCTTTCACCATAGTCAATGGAATGAGGCCAATTTGCTGTTTAAATTCTAAATTTTCCTCTGAAATAAACTTTCACTGAGTTCAGATTCCAAAGTGCATCTCCTCTTGGTCTGCACATCAAAGAGCTTCCCCTGCCCTGCTCCAAGGGGGCCCAGGACCCTGTTCCTCCCACACAGTGTCCCCACCAGGCGCTGTACCCTACACAGAACTGTGTCCTGCTTACGCAAGCGACCATTCCCAGGCTGCATTAGGTTTTCCTGAGCCCAGCAGCTGATGAGTCCGAGCAGGTCCTGGTGAGGCTTCTCCCTCTGGGGTGAGGAAGCTGCTGCCCAGGTCCTGCTTCTCTCTCAGCTCTCCAAAGCCAAGCTTCTCCAGGCTCACACAGCCTTGGGGAGAGCATCTTTTAACACTAGATTGAGGAAAAATATCATCAAAAAACTCTCATAGAGTTTATATATCCTCTGCCATTGTAGCCATCAGGAAAATTGACCTGGTGCAAGTATGAGGGTGTTTGTGATGTTGCCTTTCCTGCCTAACTTTTAAATCACACTGTTTCAGGTTTTCAATCTGAAAAAGTCTTTTCCCATAGACAAAAAATTGACTAAGCGTAAACAGGCTATAAATCAACCTCCCCAACAAAAACCCATCCAGACTGAATTCATCATTGACCACTTTAATCCCAGTAGGAAAACCTCGGCAGTGGTATGTTTACATTGCCAGTAATTCTGCTAAAGTCTGTTTCCTAGAGTTGAATTAATAGTACTTATGAGAAAAGGATATTTGGAATTCACCATACAATAAAACCACAGTAATGCGAAGTAATTAATTTAACTATCTTAAAAAGTCATATGAAACAATTTCTAGTAAGGAAAACTTATTTCACAATCCTCATAATTTTATTTTAATATATCAAAGGGATGCCGTGTATGAGTAACTGTATTTTATAATGATGATATAGGTAAGCATAAGTAGTGCTTTCTCCTCTGTTTGTGTTATGGTTTGTGTGTGGATGTCTCCCCAAAGCCTCATGCAGTCATGGGGCGGGCTTCTAGAGTTTATGATTGATCTATGATCCAATGCTGGGATTATGGGTGTGAGTGCTACACCCGTCCTGTGGCTGATGGTTTACATATCTAAGGGAGAGGAAGAGGCTGCTTGCTGCCATTCCACCCTTTGCTCTTGCTGCTTTTGCTGTCTTCTGCCTCCATGAACTGTTGCCCTCTGCCATGTGCCACTCTGCCTTGGAGCCAGTCAAATATGGACTGCAACCTCCACAGACTGTGAGCTAAATAAACCTTTCCTTCCTTAATTCTGGGTGTCAGAAATTTTGTCTCAGCAATAGGAGAAAAGTAACCAAGACAGTCTGATACTGAAAAGTAGCAAAATTAAACAGGAGAGATAGAGAAAAACTAGCAGGAGAGAGAGGGTGGAGGGGCAGGCAGTGGGCAGGCTGTGAGGATCACTGCAACCCACATTCAGGATTTTCTTACCTGTCTTTGAAGTGGCACAAAGCACCACAGGGTTCTGAGTAGAGAGAGGGTAACACTATGATCACCTGCCCTGGGCTGTAACGTGACTGCACCATGGAGTCCCCTGACTTGTGAATTAGAGTTCACTGAGGGAGCCGTGATTGCAGAAGACTTAAGACTCTAAGGAGATGGCGGAGGGAGGAGAAAAAACGTTCTAGCGCTTTGGTGAGGCTGGAGTCGGGGCATGGCGGGAAATCCAAGATGGAGCAGAATAGGAATAGGTGGGGAGGGGCAGGTTGTGCCCTGTTCCGATGGGGGCATCTGTGGTCACTGCCCGCTCCCTGACAGGAGATCCAGCTCATTCTCAGCTCCCATGTCCCATCTTCTATTAATTCTCCTCCAGCAAGGATCTCTTGCAGGTCACAGCCCTGTGTATGAGGGGGCCAGTTCTTGTGTGACACTGGACCAAGAAAATGGATCTATGCTTCACTGCATTTTTAAATTATTGCTTTGTTTTCATTTTTTATATTCAGAGACTATTTAACTCTTTACTTTTATTGACTCACAAGGCAATTTTACATGTCTTTACTTTTTTATCAGATGAAAAATTTAAATGTTTATTCTTTTCTATCATAATAAGGGAAATCTTTCTTACATAAGTGCCAAGAAAGGACTAGCTCCACTACTAATAGAAAGAAATACCATTTAGCTATTCAATGACACTTTAAAAGTGTGCAGAGTGCTATGTGTAAGTATTTAAAATTACCATTAAATGAAAGTGACAAATGATTGTAGCATTTCTGAATAATGATTTTGTGGAATAAAAATATTCTGTATGTATGTGCAGGATACCTTAATTGGTTATTTTTAGGTAAAGGAAACTAGTGAATTTTTTTTTCCTCTCTCTGATTTTTGGTAGTATAGAAACACATTTCTCATTTAAGACATAATATTTGTAATGAAACAGAAACAAATATCCCTCTCCAGGAGTGCCCAGGCCCCTTTCTGTTCTATATTCCACACTGCTCATAGCACTGGGCTGTAATGAAGGCTGCAGAGGTCTTCCTGTGAGAGGAGAGACTGCTCCTGGCTAGAGCCTCAGTAAGTGTTTGCTGAGGAGATCGGCTATATTTACATTAAACTCAGGAGTGCAGTGCAGGTATAAACTGAACTACTGGAGTAATAACTTTGCAATAATAAGCTGCTTGTGATAGGTGTAGGCCTCAAATAGCACTGTCTTAATGTTAGTGAGATTCTTACATTCATGGTGCCCCATGTGGAAATCAGGGACAACTGGCCCTTTTTGTCCTGCTTCAAACTCCAGAATGAATGAATGTTTCCAAATATTTTACAAATTATATGAAGACCAAGGCTAGGTCAACTTTCTTGGTCTTTCAAAAATTGATATTCCTTTGTCTTTTTGTTTTAGATGGAATAGCTAAAGAACTTGGTAAGTTCTGTTTCCTTTCAATGCTAAATTGAAAATTCAGTCTGTGTGTCATAAAAATACTTATCTCTCTGTGTGATACTTTGCAGAACAAAGAAAACTGGTCATAAAGAAGTGTAAGTAGCATCCTGACTCTCACCTTTGACTCCCACACCCGTTACCCACAGCAGCCCTGCCTGCCCAAGCACTCCGCTAACTTTTATGTCTATCTGGTTGCAGGTCTAAAGGAAGCTCAACGATTTGCAGGTAATTGCAAAGGGAACAGTTTAAAGTGACTTCATGTTTGCCACCTCACCTCTGTGGGTTTCTAGTGAAAGAAATGGTTTGGCCCAATACTCTGTAAGACACATGTGAACTAGGAAGTCGGTTTGATGCTGGACAGGTGCGCCTGAGGTTATGTAAGAACCAACAGGTTGAATGTGGGAGTTGATGTGAGGAAAAATTCTACAGTGAATACACAAGGGACATATGCTCTGTTTTGCCTTAACACATACCCATTATATCAACTTGTAAAAAGGGAAGTTTTACTTTCCCTGAGGGTTCTGGGGGCTTCAGGTCATGGGCAGTTGTTGCTGTGGGTTTCACTCCTGAGTCAGGGCAGCAGGTCGGGGTGGGAGCCAAGCAGAACTATGCACCATGTGGCTGAGAAGAAAACAGGAGCAGGGCACCCAGTTCTCCTGCACAGGCTGTGCCCGGTGACCCAGGGTTTCCCACCAGGCCCCACCATTGAAAACCCCTCCATTCCCAGTAGCACCAGGATGTGAACCCAGGCCAAGGAGGGTTCCAGATCCGCACACAGCACCTGGCAGAGCACAGATACAGGGAGCTCACCTCAGTGCCAGGGCAGGGTCTGCGCCAGTCAGGAGCAGGGGCTTCCCCTCCCTGACCCAGGGGTATTAGCTTCTATGGACCTAAGGGCCATGAAAGACTTATGAATAGGGGAGAGTCTCCCCTCCTCCTCCCTGCTCCGGTAGCATGGTGGCCTCCAGGTCTGTCAGGCTCTCTATGTTCACATGGGATGGCTTTTCTCCTTCAAAGAAATTAACAATAATAACTGATATGGGTTGAATTTCTCTAGTCACTGTTACACTACTTCTGCTTTCTTTACAGAAAGCCTTAAGAAATAGTTGGGCATCTTCATTCTCTCCAATGTTCACCATCTCACTTTCCCCATTATGGCCTAACAAGGGTCCAACCCTAAACACAGCCTCCC